GTCTCCGGGCCCCCCGGGATCGCCCCATTGGCTTCCTAATGGCCCATTGAGGCAGCTGCCGCCAGGCACGGCTTTAACCCCTTCCTCCGGATGGGAGCAGTCCAGCCCAAAATGTGGGGGGGGGAAGGAAAACACCAGGATTACAACATGGGAAAAACCCCCAAAACCCAATCTCTATCCTCCTTTATTCTTCCAAGAATAACCATCTTCTGAGAAACAGCCCCAAGCAGAGCCGCCTTCTCCTGCATGGACCTGGGAGAGGACTTAGCTCCTTGAAAGAGCTGTCCTCTCCTCACATTGGCCCAAACCTTATAGACCTTTCTTCTGTAGGCAGCTCCCCTTTCTCAGCTATTGCAAGGCCCTTGAAGGTGCTCATCCTTGTGACAGATGAGGAGATAAAACCAAATGCTCTCCCCTCCTCTCCCGTCCCTCTACCCTCCTTTCCCCATTTCATGCATAGGTAAATATATATATATTTATATATCAGCTTGTCCCCACTGCCACCAGCTCCCCCCCACCTGGTTCCCTTCCTCCCCAGCACAGGGAGCATCTCACATCTGGATCATCACAGAGAGAGCTGGAGCCAAGAGCAAAAGCAGGAAGGAAAAGAGGACGGCAGGTGAGCTTTGAAGGTCGGCAGGTGAGCTTTGAAGGTCGTAAAGCAGGTTGGCCACTGTCTGCCTCCAGGTAGCACATCTGGCAAGTACCCAAGCAGCCTTTAGGGTCCGAATCCATGTTCCTCCCAGCAGGTGGGAGATACCTGCCTGAACCCAAACCAAACGGCTCATGTGGGACTCGCTCCTCTCCTGGGTGGCAGCCAGGGAAATAATACTGGGCTTCAAAAGAAGGAAGAGTCTCCTCGGCTAGGAGGAGCCAGACTTGTAGTCTTCTGTTCATGATCCCTGGATTAGCCTGTTTTTCCATGGTTTTACGACAAAACACGGGTCAGATGCCCCAGCTGCAGGGTGAGGGCCACAGCTCTTGTGGCAGCACAACACCACGCTTCATTCCTCAAAGATGCTGCTCCTGGCGACACAGCTTCTGCTTGTCCAGCTCCTGGATTCCCTCCAGCACCCAGGGGTCTGGTCTCCCACCTTCACCTCCAGGAACTGCTCCAGCCCATGACAGGATCCGGCTGTCAGGATAACGTTGCTCAGGAACATGGGACATGGGTGTCCACATCTCACCATCTTCTCATCCCAATGGAGCAAGCCAGGAATTTGCTGGGCTGTGTCCAAAGCCACATCCTTGAAAGGGGAAAGAAGCATAGTCAATGTTGAGACCAGGGATGATCACTGAGAATAAAGGCTGCTGTCAAGGAGTCATAGCACTATTTAGCTGGGAAAAAAAAACCCAAAGGTCCCTGGTGCAACCCCACACTCAAGGCAGGGCCAACTCCAATGTTAGACCCTCCCATGTCCCTCGTGCCTTCTCCAAACAACCCTTCCTGGATCAGCTCCTCTCACTGCCGGTCAGGACTCCTCTAGGCCACCTCCACCCTAGCCCTACAATGCAGCATCCTGCTGTCACCCCTCTGGAAGCCCTCACACCACGAGGAAGGTGTTTCAGAGGCCTTTTCTCTTCCTCTCTGGCCTGTCTCACATGCAAGTTTTGTAATAAATTAAAGGCCCTCAAGAAGCACCCCTTCTTCTCCCTAGGGTGACTAGCTCAGATGCAGGACGGTAGCAGGGGGGACCCTGCTCCAATTTCCCTCTGACGGGAAGGGGGACCTGGTAAAAAAAAGCTTAGAGCTTAAAATCCCCTTGTGCGAGGGACCCACGACCTCGTTATTTGGGAAGGGGGCTTAGGATTCCCTCGTTTGCCCTCCCTCATCCTCAGAAGCTCAAGAAACTTGGAAAAACTTCTCCAGCTAGGAAGGCAAGGGGGACGAGAGCAATTTCTGCATTCACCCAGCCAGGGGGATTTGGGAGCGAGGGATGGATCCAGGTAGGAGCAGCAGCTCCAGAGAGGGAGCAGCTTCTCACTAATTCCCTCACTGCACCTCCTTGCTCTGCTTATTTTGGAGAAGACAGACTTATTCTTATCAGTCTGCAAAAAAACCCCAAGCCCACAAAAAGCAAAACACACCCAGTCTTTCCTCTGTCCTCCACCTGCTTCTAGAGATTTTGGAAGCTTTCAGGGATTGTCCCAGCGCCAACAGGGCTCCTCTGTCTCCTGCCAGTGGGACCCAGAGCAGCGACGGGGCTGGCAAAGGGCGTCTCGGCCACCGCCAGGAAGGGAGGCGGCAGCAGCACGTTGCTCCAGGCGGGACCCCGGTCCCCGCTCCATCTCCTGCCTTGCACGCTGGGCAGTGCGGAGGGAAGGATGGGCGGCAGCAGGGCACGAAAGGGTGTCTCAGCACCGGCGACTGGCTCAGTCCCCGCGGCCCTGACGAGGGCGTCCGTGACGCTCCACGAATCCAGCCCTGGCCGAGAAAGCAGGGAGAGGTGAAGAGGGACCCTCGGCAGGCAGGGGACACCGTGCACCCATCACGTCTTGCTGCTTGGGCGTAGGGGGGTGGGGGGCGCCGGCCGCCTGGGTCCCACCT